TGGATGGATGGATGGATGGATGGATGGATGGATGGATGGATGGATGGATGATGGATGGCTGGTCATGGTGGATAAATTCATTCTCATTTTTCTAACCATCACATTCTCTTGCTTTAAACCCTCTTTCTTTTCGTGCTTTGAGGAAAATTCCTCCTGCTTTTTTGGCTGGCAGGAGCAGCTGAAGGCCAGACAGGGAGCTCTGGCCTAAGCCCAGATCCCAGCTCAGGAGCTCCCAGCCTCTGCTTGTGCCTGGCCTGGAGCGCTCTGCACAGGGACTGGCAAATCTTGGCTGCAGGGCAGATTTTTCAAGGAGCTGCAGTGATTTTCACAGTTTACTTGGTTGCCAAGATAATCCTGAGCTGTGTAAAACGTCTCTGTGTGGATTTCTCCCAGAATTGGACAGTTTGCCACCAGCCAGGAGCTGTGTGGTGGCGCGGTCCCAGGCAGCTCCCAGGCTTCTCACACACATTGGGGATAAATGTCAGGAGTTCAGGCTGCTCTCCAGGCCCTGTCATGGAGAAAAAGGACCAAAAAGAACAGGAAAAGCAGCACTTGGAGATGGTAATTTTTCAGACTCCAGCTGTACCAGGGCACTGATTTTAATTGAAGCCTTCAGCCCAGCAGAAGCAGGGAAAGGATCTCGTGTTTTCCCCCCTGTACCCCAGGAGGTGAAGGTAAACAACCAGAGCCCCTTGTGCCTTGGCAGTTAACAAGTTCATCATGTTTCATAGAAACTGCATCCTAATTTTTATTCCAAACAAGGTTTCAGCACTAATTTCTGTTTTGACAAACACGATCTGACATAAGAACAGTGGGAGTCAAGACCTTTCATTTTTGATCTGGGTTTACATTGCGCTGATCTAAATTCCTCCCCCTTCTGCTCTTGCTTTTCAGTTGTAAACTCTGTTATTAAAGTTAGCAAAGAGCTGTTTAAACCCCCTGTTCTGTGGCATTTAAAGAGTCCTGCTGCATGCAAGATTAAGTCTGATATCTTCCTAATGGCTCGTGCTGTTCATCTGAGGCGTTGGCACAAAGCGTCACTGTACGGGTTGGAAATGGCTTTGTTGCAAATGAAGGATTTGGTTTCTGCTCACTGAGTCACTTCATCAAGGGCTCCTTGCCAAATGGCAGCACCAGCCCCCCTGGGGCCCAGGGCATTAGAGATGGCATTCCCCAAGCTCTGCTGCTGCTGCTGCAGGGCTGCCTGGGCTCAGGGTGATGGCAATCACAGGGGAACGTGGCTCTAAACAGGGGGGACACAGCACAGGGAATTTTCTTGTGGAAGGTTGGAATGGGATGATCTTTAAGGCCCCTTCCAACCCCAGGCAGCCTGGGTAAGGATAATTTTATTTGAGCTGAACCCTGACATCAGGGAGTGCTGGAGATCCTGGCAAGGATGCTCCCATCTCCTGCTGCTTGGGCATCCTGGTGTTCACCTCCCCAGAGGCACACCCTGAGCTCCTCCTTGGTCCCCAGAGCAAGGCTGGTGGGACAGGAGAGTCCAGCCTGTGCTTTGGGTGCCTTTGCAGGGTCCTTGTTCTCCATGCCCAGGGACAGGGAGTGTGCTGGATCCAGGAGAGCCTTTGGAAGGAGCTCTCCTTCCTGAGGCAAGGCTATTTCAGAGCCCACTCAGAGCTACTTGGCTGCTGAAGCATCACTTTGGTGGCTTTTTTTGAGGCTCTCAAGGGACAGACTTGCAGCTGGGAGCCCTTCAAGTCTGTCTGGCCTGTGATATTCCATGGTGGCTATTTTGGGAAGAGAGGGCTGAGGGAAGGCAGTGCTCTCCATGCCTCCCATCACAGCTGCTCCCCTCTGGAAAATCAGACTTTTGCTAAGCTCTGGGGGCTGGCTGAGTGCTGGGGTTAGGCCACTGGTTCAGGTGTTGGGAGAGGCAGGTGCAGGTGAGTCTGGCCTTGGACATGTAGATCCCCAGCCTGTAAACACCTGGCCCCAAGGTTTTTCATTGGGGGCAGAGTTTCTTCCTAGAGCCTGAGTCACCTCCCACAAAAAAAAAAAAAAAAAAATTAAAAATTAAGAAAAGAAGAAACAAAAGAAGGCAAAAGCACCAATGGCAGCTCCTCTCCACCCAGCACCTTTCCCAGCCTTGTGTTAATGAAGTCAATGTTGGTTGGTGCTCTCTGGGGCAGGGTTCAGCTCCTGGGGTGGGTGGCAGCAGGAACAGAGCAGCCTTGTTGCCCACACTCCTCTCTCCATTCTTCTGCTGCACAAAAGAGCAAATCCAGGGTGGCACAGCTCCTTCAGCTCAGGGAGAGATGAACCTTTGTCTGCTCCCCTCAGCTGCTGCTTCTCCTCCCCAGTCACCACTCAGGGACAGCTCTGGGCAGAGGCCCTGGCACCAGAGCTGCTGTGACACTCAGAAATGTCCCCAGACGCCCTGGATTCCTCCTGAGGTCCCTCTTCTGGTCCCTGGTGAAGGTGTCCCCACCCCAGCCAGCCTGGGGCAGGATCAGGAGGGGATTTCATGGCACACTTGGGTTTGTGGGGTCCTGCTCCAAAGCCGCTGCTCCCAGCCCTGGGGACTTCCAGCAGGGTTTCTGTCAGGGGTTTCTTGTGAGGCTTTCTTGGTTTAACACTCCCTCAGAGCAAGAACAGTCAGGCTGAAACCAGCAATTTCGAGCTGAGGGTGTCAGCAAGAGTCAGAAGTGACAGAGAGGGGTTTGATTTGGTTTTGAGCTGCCTCCCCTTTGATTGCAGCCCTCCCACCCTAATGCAGGTGCAGAGAGGTGCTGGTGCTGTGACAGAGCTGGCAGGAGGTGGCAGGAGGTGTCACCACCCTGCCAGGTGGGTGTGTTGGTGCTGCACTCATTGCTGGGGTGTGCACACACCAAATTCTGGAATTCTGGCAGCTGCCCCTGCTGTCCCTCCTGCTCTGAGGAAGCCGAGGCTGAGCAGGCAGGCGGGCAGGTGCTGCCCTGGCACAGGAGTCACAGGCTCAGGGGCTCTCTGGGTGCCCTCTGTCCTGGCCAGGGACAGGCACAGCCAGGCCCTGGTTTGATCAGCAGGGGCAGGAGCTGCCTCTTCACCCTGTCCTGGGGCTGGAGCTGACCCAGCCCCTCCTGGCCTGGGCAGGGCTCTGGGGCTGCAGGAGCAGAGTCACTGAGCATCTGCAGCTGCTTCAAAGCTGGTGCAGAAAAAAGGGAGCACGGCCCAGCCCCTGGTACAGAACACACAGCCCCAGGTTCTTCTGATGCAGAGGGCGAGGGAATATTTAAAACAAATGTTTAATGTGACACAAAGGCAAAGCAGGAGGGAGTGAGGTTTGCCCTCCACTCTGTCAAACACAGGCAGCAGAGCTGAGCCACTCCAAGCAGAGCTCCCAGTCCCCAGAGCCATTCCCAGAGTTAAAGGCCTGACTTGCTGAAAAGATAAAAGGCTCTGTCAATCCCAGCAATATTCCTCACTTCAATTAATCATCCCAGAAAATGGTGAGTTTGTTGTCTCTTTGTCTCCATTTAGCTTGAGCAAATCCAACTTTCCTCATTGTCTCTCTGCAGATTATGAAAAGCTTTTGTTGATTATATCATCAAGCTCAGGCGAGCCCAGCAGTGTGATTCTGCTCTCAGAATATCACAGCAGCAGCTGTGCCTCAGGTGCCACTGCCCTTCCTTCCCTGTTCAGATGCTCTCCCTGCCTCCCTGGCACGTCTCTCCTTGCTAACAGGAAAGTGTATAGAAATCACCTAATCATTAATATTGAAGAATCATTAGGGCTGATGAAAGCAGCCCTGCCTGCCATGGTGTTGTTTTCCATGCTCGGTGCTTTTGGCAAACACGCCAGGCCCACTTGAGCCCAGCTGATTTTTAGAGCCCACCAGTTGATCCAGTGACCGACTCCATCCACCCACTGCTCCTGGAGGTGGCTGCAGTGACATGGTCATTTCCCAGGCCTGCAGGAATAAATGGATTTCTGGAGGCTGTTTCTGCCTCCCTGCTCTCCCCCAGCCCCTGCTTTTGATGCAGACAGCATCCAAAAGGCAGCAATCTGTGGTGGAGCAGCAAAGTCCTGCTTGGGTTTTTAGTGAAGCAATGATGTGCTGGCTGGCTGAGAAGTGTCAAAACTGCAATCTTGGAGCATCAACAAAATAAGGCAGGATCCATCCCTAGGGGAGAGGAGGGCTGAGAGGAGGAAGGAGCCCGGGATGGGTGGATCTGAGCCCTTCTCTGGGCTGCACACCAGAGTCAGACCCAGTCCCTGGTCCCTTGGTGAGAGCACAAACGTTGCTGAGCCACTCTGGCCAAGGCAGGGCTGGGAACAAGGCCAGGGCTTGCACTTGGGGCTGGGGGCTTCAGCTGTGGACCCTGAGCTGTTCCTTGGGGCAGCTCTTGTAGCCATGATAATTTCTGAAAAATCCTTTCCTTAGGATTGTTCCTCCTGAGAAGCTGAGAGGCCTCAGGAACAAAATGTACCCAATGGTTATCTGCTGCTGTGGAATGCAACAGGTGCATCTGGGATTGGGCTCATGTGGTTGTTTCTAATTAATGGCCAATCACAGTCAGCTGGCTCAAACTGTCTGGTCAGCCACAAGCCTTTGTTATCATTCTTTCCTATTCTGTGCAAGCCTTCTGATGAAATCCTTTCTTCTATTCTTTTAGTATAGTTTTAATATAATATATATCTTTAAAATAATATTTTCTATATCATAAAATAATATATCTCATATAACATAATACATCTCATTAAAATATATATCATAAAATAATATAATCTATGTCATAAAATGCATCATAAAATAATATTATCTATATCATAAAAATGCATCATAAAATAATACAATATATAATAATAATTATTAGATGATGTATTTATGATATATATTAATGTAATATATCATAAAATAGATAATATAATAATATATATAATAAAAATAATGTTTAATATAATATATATCACAAAAATATATGTCATAAAAATATATATCATAATGAACCAAGCCATCTGAAACATGGAGTCAACATTCTCATCTCTTCCCTCATCCTAAGACCCCTGCAAACAGCACCACAAGTTCTTGCAGAACTCAGCATTCTTCCAGGCCAGTGGAAATGGTGGGTGCAGAGCTGGGCAGCCCAGGTGGGAGATGCCCCCAGCCCAGGGCCTGGGAGCTGCTGCTGCCTGTGCCAGCCCCCCAGGCTGACTCAGAGCTGTGCTTTCAGCTCTCTGCTGTGTTTCTGCCACACAGGAGGCCTTCGAGGAGCAACTGTGATCGATGCCTTAGATACCCTGTACATCATGGAGCTCGAGGAGGAATTCCAGGAAGCCAAGCAGTGGGTGGAGAAGAGCTTTGACTTGAACGTGGTGAGTCAGCTGCCGGGAATGCCTGCCTGTGCCACCTCAGCTGCCAGCCCTGAGCACAATCCTCCCCAGAGCTCGGTGGGGGCAGGAACCACTCAGCTGATTTTCTTTGTAAGGCCAAAGGGAGCAGCGCAGGGATTCAGCCCAGGGGTTTTCTGCTGGGTGCAGAGGGGCCAGCAGATCAGCCTCAGCTGGCTGACAAGGTTCAGTGTTTAATGGTTCTTGTGTTCTGCTCTGGGTGATAGAAACAGACTCTCACTGCTACACACTCCAAGGAAACGTTGCTCACCAAAGAACAAGTTCTGATTCATCTCAGGTAAATGTCTGCCTGTGATAAAACAAGATTTCCTTATCAAATTTCCTTATTAAATTAGATTAAGGTTGTAAACCCAGCTCCCCTTGTCTGGGCCCTTTGTTGGTGTCACTGCTGGGACCTCAGCAGCAGAGGGGGAGCACAGGGGAGCCAGGGTTTGGGCATCACCTCTGCAAACAGCCAGGGCTGCTTCTCCCTGGGCCCTTGGGGCTGTGCTGGGGCTCTGGTGCAGCACAGCAGGGCTGGCAGCTGAAGGGTGCTGTCCCTCCTCTGCCCCAGCTGATGGCATCCCATCAGTGGCAGCCACAGAGAATGTTCAAACCAAAGTGCAGCTTAAACTTGTATTTGTTTAATGCCAGTCTCGTTGGTGTGAGGAACGGTTCTCCCAGGGGAACAATGCCTGCAGCTGCCTTTTTAGAGAAGCATCATTTGGGAGGGCACCACTGGCATTCATGGATTCATAAGAGACAGCCCACATCTGATAAATCTGGTGAATGGTCTCAGTCTGTTACTGAATCGATAAACAAGGGACAAAATCAACTGGGAGATAATTTATCTGGATTTCATAAAAGCTTTTAATCTTGGCCTGCAGAATAGATTGATCTGTAAAGACAAGAGTGAATGCAGTGGATTGATCAGTGGAGTCGGGGAGCACAGCAAGGGAGGCAAGGGGAATTAATTCAATATTGCCTCTCTACAAGGAGCTCTCACAGTCCAGAAAGGCAGGACAGGGACTGCAGGACCCACAAGCTCTGCTGGAAACTGGGTGCTGTGATCTGTCTGAAGTTGTGTTGGAAGGTTTAGGCTGGATTTTGGGCAAAGGATTTTGGATTGCTGTGATCTGTCTGAAGTTGTGTTGGGGAAGGTTTAGGCTGGATTTTGGGCAAAGGATTTTGGATTGCTGGCACTGCCCAGACTCCCCAGGGAATGGGCACAGCTCCGAGGCTGCCAGAGCTCCAGGAGCTCTTGGACAGTGCCCAGGGATGCCCAGGGTGGGGTTGTTGGGGGGTCTGGGCAGGGCCAGGGGTTGGGCTGGGTGATCCAGGGGTCTCTTCCAGCTCAGGAGGTTCTGTGATTGTGTGATCTGCCCTGCCTGCCCCAGCTGCTGCCTCAGGTGGTAAATGGGGCAGTTTGGGTGTTTCTCTTCCCTGCAGGCTCCCCCTGTCCCTGCAGAGCAAACAAAGAGCTGAGAGATGGGCACACAGTGCTGGGAGATGGGCACAGGGCTGAGGGCTGTGCTGCACTCAGGGCTCTCCTTTGTCTTTGCAGAATGGAGAAGCTTCCCTGTTCGAGGTGAACATCCGCTACATCGGGGGGCTCCTGGCCGCCTACTACCTGACTGGAGAGGAGGTTTGTCCCCACAGAGGGTCCCCCCAGCTCCTGGAGTGTCCCCACAGCTCCTGGAGTGTCCCCTCAACACCTGGAGTGTCCCTACAGCTCCTGGAGTGTCCCCCCAGCCCCTGGAGTGTCCCCACAGCTCCTGGAGTGTCCCCTCAACACCTGGAGTGTCCCCACAGCTCCTGGAGTGTCCCCCCAGCTCCAGGAGTGTCCCCACAGTGTCCCCCCAGCCCCAGGCACCAGCTGAGAGCCCTGCCCTGAGCATCAGATAATCCCCCCTTAACAACAGGCTAAACCCATCCTTTTTGTGAATATGGAAATGCCACTAATGTTCCTTTAATTAAGCCTCGAATAATTACCTTGCACACACCGTGCATGGCTCATTTGCCAGAGATCTTCCCTCCTGTGGGCAATTCTAGCCAGACACGTTTGCAGTTGGACACATTGCTCCCCGGGGAAATGCCATTTGCAGAGCATCTTTGTCTCTGTACTTGTTCCTCTCTCTTGCAAGTCGGATGAGATTTCATCAGACATCGTCCCAGATCCTGCCTGGGGCTAAGGAGGGCAGCTGGGAGGGGCAGGGGCTCCCCACATCCCTGTGGAGCAGGAATTCCTGAGCTGGGTGCCCTGGGCTGGTGTCACAGCCCCCGAGGTGGACGCTGCAGGCCTGGGTGAAGCAGGAGCTCTCATCTCCCCTGCCCTCCCTCCTGCCCAGCCTGGAGATGCCATCGTCCGTTTGCTGCTGTGCCTGGGCTGGAATTCTACATCTGTAGGGAGATGAGGAGATTAGGAATTGTTCCTCTGCCCTTTGGTGAGCTGAAACTCTGGTTCAGGGGAGTTGGGTGAGGACCAGCCCTAAAGGAGAGCTCAGCCCTGGGGTGGCTCCTGCACAGTGACACCATTGATCAGGAGCAGCTCTCTTACCTCAGCTGCATTTCAAATGTGTTCCAGGAATGACTTCCCTCTGGGATTTCCCTCCAGGGAAAACTCTCAAAGGCTCGGTGAGACTCAGGGTCTGCCTCAGTGACAGCTTCAACAGGTTTCAGATCAACAGAGCAAAGAGAAGCCACATTAAACCATAAAACTCCAGCAGTGACCCCTTGAAGTCCCATCAGCAGCTGGGGCAGTGCCTGCCACTTACCCAGTGCCACTGAAAGGCAGAACCCAGTCCCTGCTCTTGCTTTCCCCTCTGAACCAACCCCCTGTTTCCCTGTGAGAGTATCAAAGGTCTGGGAGCCCACAGGAGAGCTCAGGTTTCCTCAGTGCTGTATTTTTAGAGCAATGAATTCCTGCTTTCTGAGAGCCACCACCACAGGGCTAGAGGTAAAAGGCTTGTGCTTTATCTCCTAAGTCACTTAGAGGCTTCTCTTGATCAGGACTAATCTCTGCAGTGAAGATTAGTGCTGGTATCAGTCTGTCCCAAAATAATTGCGTGTGCTTGCTTTGTGCTGCAAGGCACCATAAGCTGCAATTTGAGTGGAAAGCCCAAAACTGAGGCATTACCAGTGCAGAAGGAGCAGCTTAGCCATGAAACCACCAATCCTTCTTGGCCAAGAGCTGCAAGGAGAGGATGGTTGGTTGCAAATCATGTTTTTTACAACAGGAGATGAAAACACAATCTGGGCAAGCCCACGTTGTAAATCCAGCAGCGCTTCAGCCCAGAAGGATTTCTTCTGATTTCAGCTCAGCCATTGCAGCTCCTTCTGTTCTCTGCCATGCTGGGAATGGGAAGGATTTGGGGAGCACTCTGGATCAGCTCAGATCACAGGGTGTGAGCTGCTCTGCTTCAGGCTGAGGCCTTGGCTGCTGGTTTAGTGCAGATTTGAGAGGAAATTTAGAGATGCCCAAGGTCTGTGAGATTTTTGGTTCAGATTTTTTTTTGTGCAGGGGAGCCAGGGCACAGCACACCTGGAGCAGGGGTTCTGCAGCACCTCCAGTGTTTTATAACTGTGTGTTTGGAAAAGGGGATGTGGGGGATCCTCTGTGACTCCTTCCATCAAATATTTATCCTCCCTTTTAACAGGTGTTCAAGAGCAAAGCCCTGGAACTTGGAGAGAAACTTCTGCCAGCCTTCAACACCCCCACTGGAATCCCCCGTGGAGTCATCAACCTGGGCAGGCAAGGCACATCCTCAGCAGCATTTCCTTTATTCTGGGAGCTGGGGAGGACCAGGGCCAGCAGCAGCTCCTCAGAGCTGTCCCCTCCAGGGCAGATTCCTCCAGGTCCCTTCCTTTGCCAGCTCAGACCCTGGCACAGATTGCAGGTGACTCAGGTCACACCCAGCTGTGCTTTGTTAATTAATTTGGTGCTGGCCACAGTTTCTTCCTCTGCCTCCTGCCAGGGCTCCCTGCTGCAAGAGCATTTTCCTCACTCTCATGTTCTGTGAAAGGTGATTTTCTACTCTGCTCATAGCAGGGATTTTTGCAGTGTGCCCAGATAGATGCATGTGAATTCATCCAGGAAAAAATGGATTTAAAAATTGGAAAAACTGGGCAAGGGAGTGGATGGGACTGGCTGAGAGTTTTGGTGCTGGAAAACAGAGCAGAGCACAGAGCCCTCAGCCAGGCTCTGTCCTTCCTCAGCCCCAGGGTTCAGGCTGGTGACGTTCTCAGGGCCAGGGAGGCACCAGAGCTCAGTCAATCCCTGCCTGCAGAAGGTCTGGCAGCAAACAGAGCAGAGCTGGGGCTGCCCTGCTGCTCCTGCCTCTCCTGGCAGACAATTCCCTGCCAGCCAGGCAGGATTTGGATTTGCTGCTTCTGATGCATCCAAACAAATCCACGGGTGAGAGCTGCAGGAAATGCGGGTTAACAAAGCCTTTCATCCTCACCTCTTGCGAAACCCTCAGAGTCATTTTCCAGCCCTTAGCCCAAATCTCCTCCTTGGCTCTGCAAGCAAAAGACTTCCAAACATTTGGCTCACGCTGCTGCGTTGCTCAAATATCACTGTCAGCCCTCAGCTGTCTGATGTGCTCCTGATCCCGGGAAAATTGGAGCCACCAGCAGCTCTGTAATTGTCCTTTTTTACAGCACAGACATCCTGCTTCCTCTGTGCCTGATAAAGGCTCTGCATAGACTAACCTTTCACAGAAATGCCAAACCCTCCCCTGCCCTTTGTGAAGACAATTGGAGCAGCCTCCGTCTGCCCAGACATTCCCAAAATGTTTTGCTGGTGACCTTGAGTGAGAGCAGAGAAAATCGACAGAACACCCGGGCCACAGGCAGAGCCCCCGCTGCTGCTGCCTGGAGCTCTGGGGCTGGAGTGCCAGGTGATTGAGGAGCAGGGATGGAGGGAGCTGCATCCACAGCCTGAGCAGCCAAAGGCTGCAAACCCCCAGGGAATGGGAGTTACTCAGAGTGCAAGGGGAGGGCGAGGTGAGGCTGTGAGACCCAAACATCAGGGCCACAACAAAGCCCACGAGAGTTTTGCAACGAGGAATTTTCTCTCCAATTCTGCTTTTGCAAGGATGGGCTAATTCCAGAGAGACCTCAGCATCCCAGGAGGAGGAGGAGGAGGAGGAGGAGGGTCCTGCAGTGTGTGTGGGCCTCTGCTGGTGGGGGGGAGTGGGTTAAAAGGGACGTTCAGAAATTTGAAACCAGAAAACCCCCCTGGCATTGAGTCAGCTCTGCACATTCATTCTCGAGGGCCCAGCACAGCCTCCCCCCAGCTCTGCCATAACCAGCTGCCTTTATCTCTTGCTGTCACCTTTTCCTCTGGAGTCCCCTCTCTGCTGAAGAGTTTCCTGTGGCTGCCTGCTGTCCCCTGACTCTGTGTCCCATCCCACCCTCCTGCTTTGCTCTGTGTCCCATCCCTCACTCCTGCTTTGCTCTGTGTCCCATCCCACCCTCCTGCTTTGCTCTGTGTCCCATCCCACCCTCCTGCTTTCCATCCTGCTGCTCCAGCTGCCACGCTGGCCCTGGAGTGCTCTGTGTGCTCCAGCTGCTGCTCTGTGCTCTGTTCTGTGAGCTCTCCCTGTGTTGCAGCCCTTTCCTTCACACGTCCCTAAATCCCCTCTGTATTCCACATTTTCCCTCAGCATCCTCTCCTGGCCTCTCTCCTGACCTGCCACTGGTTTTGCTGCTTTGGATCCCCACGGGGGAAGGCAACAATTTGACATTTCAGACCCACTTATCTGGGAGATAAAGGAGGTTCTGGGCATGTTCCTTTCCCTTTGGAGGCCAAGGTCCTTTAAACAGTGGCTTCCTCTGAGCTGCTGGAGAGCAGAGCAGCTCTGGAGGCCCAGTTTGTGAGGCTGACAAAACGTTTCCTGCAGGGGGTCACTGCAGGCTGCTCTCGGAGCCAGGGCTGGCTGCAGATGGGCTCTGTGTCCTCCCTCCCTCCCTGCCCTGCCCTCCCCAGCAGCTCTGCCGTGCTGTGGGACCCCAGCTCAGCTCCAGCAGCGAGCACATCCCGGGCTGTGCTTCTGGGGAGGGCATCTCTGGGACCCCACAGAGCTGCAGGGACAGCAAACACGGCCCCACTTGGCAGCTGCAGCCCTGCTGGGCTGATCTGAGCCGAGCTGAACTGAGCTGAGCTGAGCCGAGCTGAGCCGAGCTGAGCCGAGCTGAGCTGAACCGAGCTGAGCCCTGCTGAGCTGAGCTGAGCTGAGCTGAACTGAGCTGTGCTGAGCTGTGCTGAACCCTGCTGGGCTGAACTGAGCCGAGCTGGACCGAGCTGAGCCCTGCTGAGCTGAGCCAAGCTGACTTGAGCCAAGCTGAGTTGAGTTGAGTTGAGTTGTGCTGAGCCAAGCTGAGCCGAGGTGTTTGTGAGGCTGTGTGTGGTGCAGCCTCCCTCCAGGGCAGTAAATCAAGGGCAGCAATGGACTCCTGGCAGGTGTCCCCATGTCCCCAGAGCAGGGCAGGGCAGGGCAGGGGAGGGCAGGGGTGCTGCTGGGGCTGTGACCCTGCAGGGCAGGGACTGAGCACTGTGACCACCCCGCCTCTCTTGACCAAACAGCCAGCTCGGGGCCTGCCACGTTTTCCTCTCCATCACAGCAAGGGAAACTTCTTTTATTTCCTCACAAGGATCATTGGTTTTAACCTCCTGTAAACAACGAACCCGTCCCTCTCCCAGCCAAGCTTCCCGGCGCCATCTAGTGTCACCCCCAGCCTTCCCCGTCCCTGGAGCTGCCCGGAGGGACCAAACGGAGCCACCACACCTCTGGGGAGCGCCCACAGCGGCTGCCTTGGTTACATCCAACCCTGCATCCTCCAGGACGTTCTCCTCTCTGGGGGGTTCCAGGGACACCCAGAGCTGGGGGTACCACGGGGATGTTTTATCCCAAGTATCTGTGTGGGGCAGGGTGGCAGTGCTCCTCCAAAGCTGTTTGTCAGCTGAGCTGTGCAGGAGGGATTCCTCTCCCACCAAAAAAAAATGCAGTTTGTGCAGTCTGTGTGTGCTAGCCCAGTCCTAAAGAATCTCTGGAAAATCACAGCTCAGTGCCACTGGAACTGCTGCTGAAAATCTCTGGGTGCATCCTAAAATCTGTGCATCTGTCCCAAATCTCTGTGTGTGTATCCTAAAATCTGTGTGTGTGTCCTAAATCTGTGTGTGTTTCCTAAAATCTGTGTGTCTGTCCTAAAATCTGTGTGTGTCCTAAATCTGTGTGTGTGTCCTAAATCTGTGTGTCTGTCCCAAATCTGTGCATGAGTCCCAAATCAGTGTGTGTGTGTCCCAAATCTGTGTGTCTGTCCCAAATCTGTGTGTGTGAGTCCCAAATCAGTGTGTGAGTCCTTTCCATGCCCCAGTGACACCTGGCAAGGGCAGGGCTGCCCCGGGGCAGGGCCACCCCAGGCTCTGGCTGTTTGCTGGCACTGAGAGCTCCCTTTTCTCTCCTTGCAGTGGCATGAGCTGGAGCTGGGGCTGGGCATCTGCTGGCAGCAGCATCCTGGCAGAGTTTGGGACCCTGCACCTGGAGTTCCTGCACCTCTCCGAGCTCTCTGGCAACCCAGTGTTTGCAGAAAAGGCAAGTGAGCCCAGCCTGGCTTCTGTGGGGTGGCCTCTTCGTCCTCCTGGGGGGCTTTTCCCAGTGTGGATTTTACCCAGAGAAGGGCACAGCCATCAGGAGCCTGCTTTGAGGGACACAGATTGTTCCAGGCAGAACCCAAAGGGAAATGGGGCTGGTCCAGAGTGCCACAGTGGGGTACAAACTGACAGGATTGCCAAAAAAACACCCAAAAATTCTGCTTTTCCAGCATGTGTCCAGTGCAGGTCTGTCAGCTGTGAAACAAGGAGGAGAGACAGGAAAAAAAAAGAGGAGGAAGAAGCTGGGAGAGGAAAGTGGAGCTGGGATGGAGGGGATGGAAAGCAGTGAGGGTGGGGTGAGCAATGAGTGTCACAGAGGAGGGAAAAGCAGAGGGTGAAGGGAAACAGGAAAGCCAGGAAAATCTGTGGGAAGATGAAGAGAGGCTGGTGATGTGAAACAGAGACAAGGCTGAGGTTCCTGAGGACAGGGATAATGACAAATTGCTGCCAGGGAGGAGAGGCCAGGGAGAGGAGCACTGTGAGGAAATGAAGGGAGGGGAGAGATAAGGAAACGCTGGGGATGCACTGCTGAAAACCAGAATTGCATCCTCAGTCTGGGTTCAAACCTCTGTCCCCAGCCTAAGAGATTTTCCTCTTCTCCTCCTAAGCCTGTGGAGGGAAAAGGGCAAAACCTTTCTGAGGGACTCTCCTGGGCTGATGTGTGCACAGAAAATGGAGCACAGCCACCCTGAGAGGGAAAATGTGGGATGGTGTGGGCTCCAACAGCCCAGCCTGGGGAAATTCCTGCAGGGGAGCAGATCAACCCATGAGCTCCCAGCCTGGGACTGGGGTGATTTTAGCAGGAATTAAAGCCCATCTGTGTCTTTTATTCAAACCTGTCATGAATATGCCAAGCTCCCAAACTCCAGTAAATATTATGGAGCCTGACAACTTCCTTGGAAGCACTGGCTGAAGGCTGTAGCCAGCTTTTGGCGTGCAAATTGTCTGATTTTGTAAAAGGTTTAGGGCAAATTAGCTGCTCTGTAGGTTATAATAGAATATTTATGCTGCATGGAATTTAACATGGTCCCTTAAGGGAAAGGCCTGTTGGATTTAATGGGGGTGAAACCAAGGGGGGCTTTAGAGAGTTAAGTGCTGGCTGTTCTGGGGCATTAAAGGAACTGTCTCTCGTTGAAGTTAAAGGCCTCAATTCATCACATTAAGTGACCACACGGTGAATTTAAGTGCTGTGTGAGTCACTCATCCCTGCCACTCCTTTCCCTTTGGATCATGGAAAAAATCACCCCTGGCATGGCTCACATCTCCCATTTCCACCCAGATCCCCAGGCATAGAATCAGATTTGGGTTTGGAAGGGACCTCAGAGCCCACCCAGTGCCACCCCTGCCATGGCAGGGACACCTCCCACTGTCCCAGGTGCTGCCAGCCCCATGCCCAGCCTGGCCTTGGGCACTGCCAGGGATCCAGGGGCAGCCCCAGCTGCTCTGGGCACAGGGAGGAATTTGGGAAGAATATCCCATCTAACCCTAGTCCCCTTTACCTTGGGGCCATTCCCCCTTGTCCTGTCACTCCACACCCTTGGGGAAAGTCTCTCTCCAATTCCCTGTAACCCCTTCAGGTGCTGGAAGGACAGAATCCCCCAGGGTCCCTTCTGGACCATGGCAGTGAGCTGACCTGGGGCTCTGCAGTGTTTCCAGAGCCATTTCTGAGATTGGGGTTGGGCTGAGCCCCAGAGCCTCTCCCTCCCTGAGCTGTGTCCAGGCTGGGAGGGCTGGAGGGAGGCATGGAGGGAGGGCAGAGCACTAACCCCAGGCTGTCTGTGCTCTCTCACAGGTCAGGAACATCCGCAGGGTGCTCAGCAGAGTGGAGAAGCCCCAGGGCCTGTACCCCAACTTCCTGAGCCCGGTGACGGGGAGCTGGGTGCAGCGTAGGTATCCGTGCCTGCAGCAGGCCAGCCTCTCCTCCCCTCCTTCCCTCCTTCCCTCCTTCCCCAGGGGCACAGCAGCCAGCCAGCCAGGCTGTGGGACAGGAGATGAGCCAGGCTTGGCAGGGAGCAGGGCAGGAACTGTGCCCTTGCCCCCAGATGTGTGTCCAGCTGTGTGTGCCAGCTGCAGAGAGAGAATCAGAGCCTTGCTGAGTGTCCCAGCTGCAGAGAGTGTCCCTGTGAGTGTTCTCAGAGAGAGAATCAGAGCCTTGCTGAGTGTCCCAGCCGCAGAGAGTGTCCCTGTGAGTGTTCTCAGAGAGAGAATCAGAGCCTTGCTGAGTGTCCCAGCTGCAGAGAGTGTCCCTGTGAGTGTTCTCAGAGAGAGAATCAGGGCCTTCCCTGCACGGGGCTCATCCCACAGGTGTTGGGATCCTGCAGCCAGCACAGGGAGCTGCATGGGGAGCACATGAGGTTCCCCTCCAAAGTTCAGGAGCCACCTGGAGAAGCAGAGGGCTTGGAGGAGCCCTGGATTCCCCTCGGATCCAGGGAGGAATTCTCCTGTGCATTCCTGTTGCTGTTACCATGGCAGCTCTGCAGAGCCATTTGGGAAGGAAGGATGAGATAAGGATGTTTGCTTCTCTCCTGTTGGGAGCCCAGCACTGGAGCAATAATCAGGGAAGGTCTTGGAGAGGGCAGGGGAATTGTGGTGGCACACAGGGAGGAGGCTGTGCCCCTCCTCAGGAGTTTGCCCTGTGGCAGGAGCCACTTGTGCAGCTGGGCCCTGATCTGTGACCTCCACTCTCTGCTCTGTTATTGATCTGCTTGTTCTGGCTGCTGGATTTGATGTTGCCAAAGAAAAGTCTCTTTCAGAGACTGGTTTGAACCTGTCAGAGGGTGACATTTGTCATCCAGGCAGGTTGCTCTGAGTCCTGCAGCTCCTGGTGTCCCCATGCTCTGTTGCACCTGGGCTGGATCACTGCAGAGCTCTCCCAGCGCTGCTTTCGTGGCTCTGGTGGCAACAGGCAGGGACAGAGCCCTGGCTGTGAGCAATCCCTGACCTGTAACTGGCAGGGCTGGTCCCAGCAGAGTGCCTGGGATGGTCACAGCTGTACATTGAACCAGAGCTGCCCTTGGGTGCTGGGAGGAAGCCCTCATCTCTTCTGCCACGAATTTAATTCTATTTTCTGTCTCTTCTACCACGAATTTAATTTCTGTTTTCAGAGAGGGGCCTGGTGGTGCTTTCCAAAGCACAGTAAAAGCACTTTCTGATTGCTTGGGACAGGAGGTGCCTGGAGATTTCCTGGTTCCAGACAGACCTTCACAGGCTGTTTGTGACCTTGGGATCTGCCCCCATATTCCAGGGAGGGAGAAGAGTGATCAGCCCCTTCTGCACCCCCAGTGCTGCTGGGGACAAACAGATGAGGGCCAGAGCAGGGAGGCATCTGCAGCCTGCTCCCCAGAGAGGCCGGGCTCTCATCTCCTCTCCTGCCATTAAAGCTCTTTGCAGGAGGCTGTTTGCCTTGAAATTGCTGTGATTTTCTTAAAAGCTGTATCTTTGACCTGGCTGAACGAGCAGATCTCGTCAGTGGAGAGGCTGGGCTGAGGCTGTGGGAGGGCAGTGTTACCTGTGGGCAGTGGATTTATTGATGCAGGGTGCCTGGGAGGCAAACCTGCCGTATGGAGAGCAGCTCTGCAGCAGGGCTGCAGCTTTGGAGAGTTTCTGAATGACACACTCAGGATCACAGAGCTGCTCTTTAAAGGCAGCCTGTGCTTGCAAATCCCCTGCCCTCCCTGCTGGCACGGCAGCCGCGTGTTTAATCTCATTGTTTTGCTAGGGATTATTCCCTGGATCACTGGACACACTGTGTCAGGGATGTTTGCTCTTCAGGTCAGGAAAATGATGCGTGGCTCTTGGTTTGTGCTGCTGGGAGGATTCAGCATTTGGAATAAGCCTCGGGATTTTATCTGTGTACAAGGAGAGGGGAAACAAAAATCTGAGCAGCTCTGACACCTGCTGCATGAGCTCAGCTGGGAAATGAGCGTGGGGCAGAGCCAGGGGGGGACGCTGTTAATTTGTTAATTAACAGGATGGCTCAGTCCAGGGAGGGCCGTTTGTCTTGCTCTCTTAAAAATGGGAGTGCTTGAGTGCTGTAAAGAGCTGCCGTTCCCCCTGTGGCAGAGTTTGGAGCTGTGAATGCATCCAGCAGTTCCCCCCAGGCACAAACCTGCAGCTGCCAGGCCCATTTCACTCTGCAGTCCCTCAGCACCTCCTGCGAGGTCAGAGCAGGGGGTGCTCTGAGCAGACAGCCTGGGAAGTTTCATTTCTGCAGAGGAAAACATGCACTGCACATCCCTGTACCTGACTTTATCACTTTAATGTGCCAGCAAGCCCCAGCCTCCCCCAGGGCCCAGAGTCCCTCCGTGGGGCAGGAATACAAATGGCAAAACCCAGGAGTGTGTCCACAGCCCCTTGCTGGCAGCTCTGTGGGATCCCAACACCTCTCCTTCCTTTCCTGAGGCAGGGAGAGAGCTCCCAGGGGCTCCATCCAGATGGAAATCCCTCAGTACCCACCACTGCTTTGGTTTATGAGGCTGGATTTATGATGATGGCTCCATAAACAGGAAGCATCTTCACGTGGCAGGATAAATAACTTGTACAATGAGGCCTCTGAATGGTTCTGCTAAGGGATACTAATGCTCTGGAAAATGACAGAACATTTTTCTCCTGATTGCACTTTCCACCTTTCTTCCTCTCTGAAAAGCAATGCTGCCAGCTCTCCCCAGGAAGCTGGGCAGGGGAAGGAGAGAACAAGGGCATTAAATAGGACGGGATTGTTTCCCCTTTGTAAGGCAGCTGCTCACTGTCTGCCATGAGGCTGAAGCTCTTTCCTGGCTTTCCCACCACAGACCACGTCTCCATCGGGGGGCTCGGGGACAGCTTTTATGAATATCTCATCAAATCCTGGCTGATGTCAGACAAGAAGGACTCTGAAGCTAAGAAGATGTACGACGATGCCTTGGAGGTGAGGAGCCAGCTGCTGCTCCCTGCTTTCTGGGGGGGCCATGGTTCATGAGAAGGGTTCAGACCTTCAGAATGAGCCTCTGGGTTTCGTTGGTTCTCACTCCTGGCACTAACTAACACTGAGTAAGTTTTACTCACTGTCCACTCTCTTGAGATCCTGATTTTCATCCCTCTAGGCAATAGAAAAGCATTTGGTGAAAAAGTCTGCAGGAGGCTTGACCTACATTGCAGAGTGGAGGGGTGGCATCCTGGATCACAAGATGGGCCACCTGGCCTGCTTCTCTGGGGGCATGATTGCCCTGGGGGCCCAGCACAGCACGGGGGACAGGAGGCAGAGGCACATGGAGCTGGCAGCAGAGATCACCAGCACCTGCCACGAGTCCTACACACGCTCAGGTACCTGCACTGCAGGGAGGGCATTGCCTGCCCTGCCAGGGGGGTCTGTGCCCCAGGGCTTTGGGCTGGAAGGGACCTTAAATTCCATCCCATGGCAGGGACACCTCCCACTGTGCCAGGTGCTCCCAGCCCCAGTGTCCAGCCTGGCCTGGGGCACTGCCAGGGACCCAGGGGCAGCCACAGCTGCTCTGGGCACCCTCATGAACCAATTTTTTCCAGCAGGGAGAGGGTTGGTGTTAAAAGCAGGGATCTGGGTGCTGGATAGTGCTTGCAAGAGATTGGGATTCCTCAGCACAGACCAACATACCCCTGCTTTTCTGCTTATCAAACCAGTGCAGTTGGTTTTGTCACCATCCTGATCCCTTCTCTCCAAGACACTGCAGAAAAAAAGGCTCAGCAAAGCCTTAGGCAAACCCTGGCGTGCTGAGCAGCCCGAAGGCAGCTGGCTGGTGTGCTGCTGGTGCTGGCCTGGCAGTGACAGTGCCGTGTCCTTGTCCCCAGACACCAAGCTGGGCCCCGAGGCGTTCCGCTTCGACGCGGGCAGCGAGGCCACGGCCACGCGGCTCAGCGAGCGCTACTACATCCTGCGGCCCGAGGTGGTGGAGAGCTACATGTACCTCTGGAGGCTCACCCACCAGCCCAAGTACAGGCACTGGGGCTGGGAGGTGGTCCAGGTAAGGCTGCAGAGGGCACCGGGCTCGGGGGGTCCCTGCAGTCCCATGGAAATCTTCGCTTCGGTCGGAGGAAGGAGCGGAAATTATTGAAATTGTGTTAAACGCTGAGATGGGTCAGGAATGCTCCAGGCTGGGTTGGATGGGGCTCTGGGAGGCTTGGTCTAGAGGGAGGTGACCCTGTCTGTGGCAGGGGGGTGCAACTGGGTGATTTTGAAGGTTCCTTTCAACCCAGATTGTTCTCAAACCCATGAGCAATGGGGCAGGGTCAAACCCATGAGCAATGGGGCAGGATCAAACCTGTGAGCAATGGGGCAGGGTCTCAAACCCGTGAGCAATGGGGCAGGGTCTCAAACCCGTGAGCAATGGGGCAGGGTCTCAAACCCATGAGCAATGGGGCAGGGTCAAACCCATGAGCAATGGGGCAGGATCAAACCTGTGAGCAATGGGGCAGGGTCTCAAACCCATGAGCAATGGGGCAGGATCAAACCTGTGAGCAATGGGGCAGGATCAAACCCGTGAGCAATGGGGCAGGATCTCAAACCCGTGAGCAATGGGGCAGGGTCAAACCTGTGAGCAATGGGGCAGGGTCAAACCCGTGAGCAATGGGGCAGGATCAAACCCGTGAGCAATGGGGCAGGATCAAACCCATGAGCAATGGGGCAGGATCTCAAACCCGTGAGCAATGGGGCAGGATCAAACCCGTGAGCAATGGGGCAGGGATACACCAAGTGCCTCCGTTCAGGGTTATCTCCACTGTGGCTGTTTCTTCTCCCCACACTGCGGGGGTGGCTGAGGGTTCTGTTCCCCCAGGCCCTGGAGAAGCACTGCAGGGTGGAAGCTGGCTTCTCTGGCATCCGGGACGTGTACAGCACCACGCCCAGCCACGACAACATGCAGCAGAGCTTCTTCCTCGCAGAGACCCTGAAGTAAGTGTGGGCTCCCAGAGCAGAACAGCTCCTGCAGCAGCTGCTCAAGGAGCCTCAGATGATGAAGGGGAAGTCTTCTCCTCCCAGGGGTGGTGTCCCTGCCCAGGGCAGGGGGCTGGAACCAGAGGAGCTTTCAGGATCTTTCCAAGCCAGCCCATTCTGGGGGAAACTGGGCAAGGCTGGAAATCTTTGTGAGCATCTTTTGTGGATGCTCCTGCCCAGGGGCTGGGGCTGAAGGGCTCTGCTGGGTTACCAGAGAAGGGTGGGGATGTCCAGGGAGGTGGGAATGTGTCCCAGCTGCTGCCTGTGCCTGCCTGAGCCCTGCTGAGCTCCTCCAGGCCGTGTGTCCCTGTCCTGCAGGTACCTCTATCTTCTGTTCTGTGAAGATGACGTGCTGTCCCTGGAGGATTGGGTGTTCAACACCGAGGCTCACCCCCTGCCCATCAACCACACGGACTTGAAAGCAGCAGGGCAGGCCTGAGGCCCTGCCCAGCTCCTGCTCCCCCAGCCTGGGCAGACTCTGCTTTTCCTTTCCATTGAAGGAATTCCTGTTGTTCCTGAAATGGTGTTTGGGGGCACTCGTCCAATTGCGGACAGGATTTTCTTGGGAAGATGAACCATGACTAAGCACCTTCTTTTCCTCTGTGAGGAGCTCTATTAGGCTGATGATGAGATGTTTATTCTGGGCCATACTGTACACAGTTCATAGACATTCCTTTATACAGAGAATTTATATGAAATCCACGGATTTTGCTTTATAGTGGCCAAAGGACTGGAAGTTTGCCATAAAATAGACTTTACACACACACGAACACACACACATCGTCCTTTCCTTTCTCTGGTTCATTTCTGCCTTTCATCTGCTCTTGGATTTATCACCTTTCCAGTGGACAGCTCCCAGTGTTCTGGGATTTCTGGTGCTGGGCTCTGGGGGCTCTGCAGGAGAACGAGGAAGGGGAGTTGTCCTTGGTGTGGGAGAGCAGCTGGAATTCTTGGGGATGGCTGAGGAGCCAGCTGAGAGCTCAGGAGTGAAGGGAGGACAGGGAGAGGTGATGTTCTACTGGGAAATGAGAGGATCAGACCCTGCAGACAGGAGCAGCCTCAGGCTGGAATTTGCAGATTTCAGGGGGGGACTTGAACCACCCTGATCCCTGCTGGAGGGGTAACTCAGGAGCAGTTACCCTGGAGTGATAAATTCCTCCTGCAAGGGACACAGGAGCCAACAGAGGGGCTCTGCTGAGCCCAGAACAAGATCTAAGGCTGCAGAGGCTGTGGATGGTGAGTTCAGGATCCTGAGGGCAGCAGGGAGGGGGGAAAGCTCCAGCCTGGGCTGCAGCAGAACCCACCTGGACCTCTCCAGAGGGACAGGTGACACAGCCCTGGGGTTCAGGTGACACAGCCCTGAGGGACAGGTGACACAGCCCTGGGGTTCAGTGACACAGCCCTGGGGTTCAGGTGACACAGCTCTGGGGTTCAGTGACACAGCCCTGGGGTTCAGTGACACAGCCCTGGGGTTCAGGTGACACAGCTCTGGGGTTCAGTGACACAGCCCTGGGGCTCAGTGACACAGCCCTGGGGTTCAGTGACACAGCCCTGGGGGACAGGTGACACAGCCCTGGGGCTCAGGTGACACAGCCCTGGGGTTCAGGTGACACAGCCCTGGGGTTCAGGTGACACAGCCCTGAGGAATAGGTGACACAGCCCTGGGGTTCAGTGACACAGCCCTGGGGTTCAGGTGACACAGCCCTGGGGTTCAGTGACACAGCCCTGGGGGACAGGTGACACAGCCCTAAGGGACAGGTGACACAGCCCTGGGGTTCAGTGACACAGCCCTGAGGGACAGGTGACACAGCCCTGGGGGACAGGTGACACAGCCCTGGGGTTCAGGTGACACAGCCCTGGGGTTCAGGTGACACAGCCCTGGGGTTCAGTGACACAGCCCTGGGGTTCAGGTGACCCTGCCTGAGCAGGGACTGGGACAGGGCCACCCCAAAGGTCCCCTTCAGCCTCAGCCATTCTGTGACTCTGTGGTGTCACAACTGTAACTAAACCAAAATCCTTGCTCCTGATGTATTTTTATATACTTTTTTTTTTTCCCCTGTGCTCTTAAAGTACATTTACCACCCATCACATCTCATTTAACTTTCCTTTTATTGTTTTTTTGGTGTTTTTCTACTTTTATTTGGAACTAAATGTTACGAGTCACTTGTAATAATTTTACTGCTGTAATAGTCAGGTCTGTGAAACAGAATAAAAGTCTTGTAAAATAAAAAGCTTGTTGGGGTTGATCCTGTAAAAGACCAGCGACTCCATGCTTGGAATGAGACAATACTGGATTTAAAGAGCGGATTTGAAGAGTTTGTGCAGTAGAAGTTGGTTTCTAGGGGAATCCAGGCAGTGGTTGACAGCAATCCCCAGCTCTGTTGGAGTGCTGGATCTGGGATCAGCATTGCCTCTGATCACTGCACAGCTCTGTGGCCCTGGGGGATGGAACATTTTTGTTCATTCTTGTGACAGCCTCGTGACAATTGGTTCATTCAGCAACTTGGGGGAAAATAAAGTTGCTTTGAGCAAGTTGTGAAAACAGAAAATGTTGTTTCTAAATTCCTGCCTTTGTAATTCCCCGAGAGAAATAAGATTGTCAGATGGGGACTTAGCATTATCCCAGGGATAAAGCTGCAGCCTGCTAAGCCTGGCCTAGAGGAATGGGTGTTGGTAAATAAACATCTTGGGAGTGAGCTGTGTTATCCGGGAGATTTGGGGATGGGGAGCTCTTGGAGCTCAAAGGATTCTGATAATGGATTAAGGGAATCTCTTAAATAAGAATGACCTGCTCTTGGAGTAACATGGAGCAGAACTTAAACCCTCAAAATAAACAGTGTGGTTCTGGCTTCCTTCAGGAACAGATCCAGGGCTGGTTTCCATTTCACACGGCTGAGTGGGACCATCCCACACCCTCCCAAGGAACTTTCCTGCAGCTCGGTGGCCACTCCACGAACCAGGAGCTGTTCTGGCCAAGGGGAAATCTGGGATGGTTTCTCCTGCTGGGTGGAAATCTTCCCTCTTATTCTTTTTAGGATTCCCTTTGATCCAGGTGTGCCTGGGTGGGCCCCACAGCAGATGGATATGTGGATATTTAACATTCTTCCTGAGTGCTGCAATCCCAGCACCCAGAACAAACCCAGAGAGGTTTGTTCTCTTTCAAGGAGCTGCAGCCACCCTGAATTATTTCACATTTCTCTTTCATTCTCTTTCCCATCAAATAATCCCCCCAGTTTCTCATCTTTTGTGGTGACTGGAAATGGTTTGGGTGTAAAATGAGCCCAAAGAGAACCAGCTCAGCTCTGCCACCACCCTGCCAGGTCCCCTCCTGCTCATTTCCCTGACAAACCAGGGCCTTTATCCTGCTCCAAACCCATCCCATCCCGTTACACTCTGTGGCCCGTGCTGGGTTATTATATATATAGTTATATATATATACATATATATATATATAGGGAAGCAGCAGCAGGTTTTAGAGCACATCTGCTGCAGGTGCTGAGCTCATCCCCTGCTCCCAGACCCATCCCTGCTCCCAGACATCATTTCCATGCTCTGCTAATTCCACAGCCACAATCGGGTTCTTTATGGAGCAGAGTTCCAGGGAAGTTTTCTGCTGTGCTGCAGAAGGAATTTTCACTGCATGAATCACAAATTTCCCCCCTGGTTCCACTGCTGGGCTCCTCTGCTTGCTCCCATCCTCATCCTCATCCTCCTCCCTTAATGGCTTGGTCATGCTCTCGCTCATCTCCATCTCCAGAGTTCTTTAGAGCTAAAACAAAAACGATTAGGCAGGCTTAGGATACAGCAGAGCTTCAAAGGATTAAAGGCTGACGCTTCCTGCTACCCTCGGAGAGATCAAACGCTCAGTGCTGGCCCTGCAGCAGAAATCTGCCCTGGCAGTGGGGGATTGGAGCAGGATTGGAAGCACGGAGGAGCGGGAGGATGAGGTGCAGGGAGTTCAAATAATAAATTTGTGCGTCTAAATAATAATTTTGTGTGTCTTGGCCCAGCCACCGCTAAGGGACAATGTGACAACAATGCCACTGCTGTGGGAGGGACACTGAAAATATTGGAGGTTGAAAAGCTTGGGGTGGAAATGACCCAAAATGTGACCCATGGTGGTAAAAATGACCCAAAATGTGGGGATGATGCTGGAGAAAGGAGGCTGAGCACCATCACCCCAGGGCTGCCAAGTCATTCCCATGCCCTAATTCCCATCCCCAGGGCTCAAACCTCAGCAGAATCACTGCAAGTGAGCCCACTGATACCTGTTTTATTAAAAAATACCCATTTTGGTCAGCTAGAACCAAGCAGAAGTGCAGAATATGGGTTTGGGAAGTTCAGGGTTTTGTTCCTTCTGGGAAAAGCTGAATTAAGGACAAAATGTGAATGTGAGGATGGACACACACCCCTGTCTCCCATGGATAATAAAGAAAAAGCCCTTGGAGACAGAGGAGGAGGGGGTTCATCCCCCCAGAGCCCTCACTGCAGAGACATTTCAGCCGAAAAAGTGCTTTTTCCTGAACAAGTGCCGCTCATTTACCATTAAAACGTGGTTTTATCCTGACAAGTGCCGCTCATTTAACACTAGAAGGAACTTTTTCCTAGCCGGGCGACGGGGCTTTAACCCTAAAACACATTTTTTCCTTAGCGGGTGCCGGTCATTTAACACTAACACGATCTTTTCCCAGACGCACCGACGCTCATTTAACACTAAAACACACTTTTCCCTGACCGGGGGCCGCTGATTTAACACCACAAAGCCCCTTCCCGTGACGGAGCGGAGGTGATTTAACACCAAAAAGCGTTTTTGTCTCCCCGCGGGGCCCACGGCCCCTCCTCGGCCGCCTGACGCCTCCCCCGGCCCGGCGGCCATGGCGGCTCCGCGGCGCGGGCCCGGCGCGATGGCGGGGCCGGGGCCCGGGCCGGCCCCTCCGCGCCTGGCGCTGGCCCTGGCGCTGCTGGCCGCGCTGCTGGCCGCCAAGTACTACCGGGACGCGGAGGCGGCGCGGCAGCAGGTACCGAGCACCGGGCACCGGGTACCGGGTACAGGGGCGGGGACGGCCGGGCGGAGCGAGGGGGAATGGCGGGCGCGGCCGGGCCGGGCTGCGTGAGGGGAGGCGGCGGCGCCGGGCGGGCAGCGGGGCTGAGGGGGCCGAAGCCGGGCTGAGGGGGCCGAAGCCGGGCTGAGGGGGCCGAAGCCGGGCTGAGGGGGCACCAGGAGCCGGTGGGCACCGGGGCTGAGGGAGCCGCAGCCGGGCTGAGGGGGCACCGGGCATCGGTGGGGTCTGAGGTGGCCATGCCCAGGCTAAAGTGACTTCCAGGAATCGGTGGGGGCTGAGGTGGCCACAGCCAGGCGGAGGGGGCACCGGGGCTGAGGTGGCCATGGCCAGGCTAGAGTGAGCACCAGGAATCAGTGGGGCGTTAAGGTGGCCATGGCTGGAGTGACCACCAGGCACTTGGTGAGGTCTGAAGTGGCCATTGCCAGGCTGAGGGGGCACCAGAACCGCTGGGCACCGGGGCTGAGGTGGCTGTGGCCAGGCTGGGCTGAGCACCAGGCATTGGGGAGGTTAAGGTGGACACTGGGTTGAGGTAGCCAGGCTGGGCTGACCACCAGGCATTGGGGGGTTAAGGTGGGCACTGGGTTGAGGGAGATGTGTCAGCACCTGCAGCCAGGTGCTCAGCAGAGCTGTTACCTATGTCCAGAGCCCAGGATGCTCATCTCCATTCATTCAGGGAATAAAAGCAGGTTAACTGTTGACAGTCCACAGTGCATTGTCCCTGTGCACAAAAAACCATCTCCCTTCATTTTTTAATGTCCTTGGCCATGTCCTCATCCAGATCTTCGTTTTGAGTTCCAGTTTATTTCAATCTCGGCCCTGGAAGTGCTCTGGAAGGCTCTTGAGTGCTTTTGTAGCTGCAGTTGATGGGAGCAAAGCCTTCCAGGCTGCATTAGTGCTGCTTCAGGCTGGCAGGCAACAGATGGAAAATAAACTGGCTCAGGAGCTCTGGGGATGGTGCTGCAGGCAATGGAGAGCAGCAGGATGCAGAGTGTTTGTGCTCCCAGCTCCAGGCTTCTCCAGGGTGGCAGGGCAAGCTGCTGGATCCTGGGGCACGTGCCAAGGGCTGGCTGGCACTGAGGGCTCTGTCCTGCCTGCTCTGTGTCTCTCCCTCCTCTCACACCAACCTGCAGCTCTTGCTCTGCCTCCAAATTGTCCCTTTCCCTTCAGACTGTGGAGTGGAAATGTCTGCAAGCATCCAGAGCCCTTCTGGGGCTGCTCTGAGGGAGACACCACCTTGGCGAGCCCTGTGGGGGCTTGTCAGAGGGAGAAACTGAGGCAGGGAGAAGCTGGGATCCCGTGGGAGTTTCTAGAGAAGGCTGTGGGCTCTGTGACTCCCTGATGGGTGGCTGAGGGCGCAGGGAGCCAGAATATTCCATGCAGTTCCAAGGCTGGAGATCTGGAGGGGCAATGACCACAGCAGGGCAGTGATGCTGGAGTGGATCCCACCACAAGTGGAACTTTCTAATTCCAAGGGCTCAGCTCAGTCCCTCTGTGCTTTTGGAATGTGGTAGTCACATATGTGAGTGCCTTTGTTTGACTGCACATCAAAGTGTGCAGCACTTATCCCAGCAACCACCACCTCCAGGTGCTGCCAGTAGCTGCAGGTTTTGGACTAACTAGCTGGAAAAAGTGAGGAATTTTTCTGGCAAAAGACTCTGAACGTGAGCAAATGGTTCAGCTGGAACTACTCAGGCAGATGCAGGTTCAATATCCTCCTGCCAGCAGTGCCTGGACACGTTGCAGATAGCACCAAATCCTGCCAAGGGGCGTTCATCTTCCCCCTGGATGTGCTGGGAAGAATGGGATTCACTCCAGAGGGGCCAGAGTGGTTCCAATGAACCTCCTCCTGCAGGAGGTTCCAATGAAATCTCTCCTGCCTCTTCTTCCCAAACCAGGAGCTGGCTCTGAAGTCCCTGGGGAATGAGGGGCTGTTCCTCTTCTCCTCCCTGGACACCAACAAGGACCTGTACCTGAGCCCAGAGGAGTTCAAGCCCATTGCTGAGAAGCTCACAGGTGAGTTCCTGTCTGCGTCCCTGCACGGAGCCAAACGTCACGGACCCCACAGCTTGAACTCACTGAATATTTTATTCACTTCATCGTTTTCTGGGTGCTGCTTTGGGTCTTATTTACGTGAAGAGAGGCTGTGAAGCTTTCCATGCTGTTGGAAAGGCTTTAGCAGCAGA